CAGACCAAACGCTGTATTAGAGGCAACCGGGACCTCTGGCTTGCAAACACCTGTTCCTTTTCTAACGTGGCTGCAAGGAACTCAAAAGCTTATGCATCTGCTTCTAAACAAACCAGAGTTCCTTGTTGCATCAAGGCTGCTTTATGATGTGGGTTAACTTCAACCTACTAAAACTACTAAGAACTAACTACTACTGAAAACAAACTAACAAGAGCTCTCTCTCCGGATTTAAGTCTTTAGCTGTTGGAGCTGATTGGTTTTAGTTGATTTAATGGAATGAAGTGTTTCAACTGTCATTGATCAGTATTTAAAAATATCTGCCTTTTGGAGATGCTAAGGGAAGTGTAAAGTGGGCTAGCATTTTACAAATAAAGACTGCCATTTCACGAAAGGAAAACCTGCTGTCCTCGTGCTTTCTGGCATCTTATCTCTCCTACCTTTGCAAAAATAACCAAGGGCACTTTTCATCGGTTGTGGTCTGCCTAATTAAAACTAGCCAGTTAGCCCTCTCTCTCTAAGGGTACATCACAGTTTCCTTCTTTCCATGTTCTACCCTTTCCAACCTTCAAACCCATAAATCACAAGTTTATTTTCCTCTTTTTTTCAGCCAAAAGCCCATAAGGGGTTTCCAGTAAAAATGTATCTATAACGGCTGTCAAGAAGATCAGAAATCACTTCTTTCTCCCTTTCCTTTCCTTTCCTTTCCTTTCCTTTCCTTTCCTTTCCTTTCCTTTCCTTTCCTCACCATTTACTATTCTTCTTTATTTTCTCCTATGGCTTTTACTTGGTTAAAAATCTCTTTAATAAAAACGAAATATATATCAAACTAGCCAATCAGAAGCTCCATTGAATTGGGAAACGGAAAATCCGCAGCCTCATTATCTTAGAGTTGTAGAATGGTAGTGGAAATGACCATTGAAATCAAGTTTGACCCCTGCTCCGTGCAGAAATCCAAAACAAAGTCTATCCCATTCTCTGGTTGGAAGCTAAAAGAAAAGAGCCTGATTGAGCTTAGCAAAGCAGTCTGCTGTTTCCTTTTTCCTGAGAATCACAAAGCAGAACCAAATCCACCCCTAAACAAGGGAGCTAGGCGTTTTCCTCTCCCCCAAAAGCTACAATAACCATATTTAGGTTCTAGACATCCCT